AGGATAAAACAATATCATTGTAAACTAGAAGAGCAGCAGGAAATAAGCCAAATATGAGCATTTCACATCTCTGGGCTGAAACTAAAAGTGCAGTAAATTTGCATGCATTTTGCATAGGCGTGAGGTGTCATCAATGAGCTGCTGAACACATATAAACATTTCATTTTCCACGGCTCACTTATGAACGAGCTTTTCCAACCACGGTCAGGCAAGATGATCGCACGCACGCCCCTTCTCTGGCTGCTGGTTCTCTGGATTCAGGGTAAGAAATCAATAAATACAAAACGTAAAACGCAACAGAGAGTCCTGTGGCACCTTTAAGACTAACAGATGTATTGGAGCATAAGCTTTTGTGGTGAATGCTCACTTCGTCGGATGCATGTGAAAAATGTAAAACGTCACACATCAGTGTGACAGAAGATAAGAAATGCTGTCATTCCGACTTATTTAATTAATATTCTACTGTTGCATTTAGTATAAATTCACACTGGAATGTTCAAACTGTGTTTCAGTGTCTGAACACTTGTGATATCCTGTATTATATCTTTGTTCATTCCCTACCCATCTTCTCTGTCTATCCAGACTCCTCTGGGCAAATTGTGATGACTCAGTCCCCGGAATCTCTGGCAGTGCCAGTGGGAGGGAGAGTCTCTATCAACTGCAAAGCCAGTACGAGCATTGGCAGCTGCATACACTGGTACCAACAGAAACCTGGACAAGCTCCCAAACTTCTTATCTATGGCGCTAGCAACCTCCAGTCGGGAGTCCCAGCCCGGTTCAGCGGCAGTGGGTCTGGCACTGATTTCACATTCACAATCAGCAGCGTAGAAGCTGAAGATGCTGGAGATTATTACTGCCAGCAGTGTAGCAGCTACCCTCTCACAGTGATACAGACCAGTGCAAAAACCTCCCTGCTCTCTGCAGCGTGCAATGCAGTTACCGTTTGTTGGGGATGTAACTGTCTGCATTTCAAATGTTCTGTAAACGTGAAATAAGAGGGTGACTTATTCCATCTCCAAGCACACAATAAAAAGGAGAACACTGGAGGACTTAAAGAGTTTGGCTACCACAGACTCTAGCCTATCCACAGAGACTTGAGGCTCACTACAGTTTTCTCTGCTTTATTTCCACTCTGGAATCCCAGGGCACCAGAGACAATTTCATTTTGGAAAAATCAGAGACTTTTCATTTCAATAAAGCTAATATGTCCATTTAAACTTTGTCAACTGAACATCATAACACAACACCCACTGCAATACAATAGACCAGTCAAAATGATAACATCGAAACAACCATTTTGACCATATCGGAAGGAAATGTTTTGACCTCATCAAAACTTTCCCCTGAAACTTTGAACAGAATTCCTGTGTTCCCGGAGAACAAAATCCACATTTCCTTAGTGAAAGCTGTTCCTTTGGGAAAATTTCAACCAGCTCTGCCATTGTACATACACTTCTACAATGGTCTCAGGAGTCCTCTTATTTGAACAGATAATCAATAAAATCCCATCGGAAGGTCTCAGAATTGTTATTGACGCTGGAAAATTATACATATCTAGGGATTTTTAAATGGCCTGTTTGCTCTGTTGTAGAATATGTTGTGATAAATGAAGGGGAGGGGAGAGCTCCCTTTTATGAACACCCAGACACCCAGTTAGCTAAAAAAATCCCTGTTAGTAGCTGGCCTCTACTTCCTTTACCTGTAAAGGGTTAAAAAAGCCCATAAGTAAAAGGAAAGGAGTGGGCACCTGATCAAAAGAGCCAATGGGAGGGCTAGAACTTTTTAAACAGCTACTAACAGGGATTTTGTAGCTAAACGGCTGGCTGGATGTCCATAAAAAGGAGCTCCCCCCCCACACACCCCTTCATTTATCACATACATTAAGGCCTTATGGGCCAGATTCACAAAGGGAGCAAATCCCCAAACACACATGAACCCTGAGGCACAAGCAGGTAATAGGCACACACAGGATTTTCATACGGACTGAGCAGATACACCAGAGGAGGCGTGCGGCCCAATGGGCAGGGAAGTGGGAGTGGCCACGCAGAAGGATGCTGACGCCTTTTCCAGAATGGCATGGGACGTGGACACAGTCAGACATGGTCTGGCTAGTAAGAGTCAGCAGGAGCCAATGGAAAATGAGTTGAGTCAGCTTCCCAGTGACTGCCGGGCTGGCCACACCACACAGAGGAGCCAATAACTGGGGAGTGGGTAGTGCAGCTTAGGAGGTTTGGAGGCCCCACTGCTCCACTCCCACAACCCCTTGTACCTCTCAGAGTTGGGTGCCCACCATGCCATGGAAGTAGAGGATGAAGGGGCACAGACACAAGGGGCAGCGCTAGAGCTTGGCACACTGACACCATTATTCAGCATTTCTGTGCTGCGTATACACCCCAAATCTGAGTATGCTCGGACATTGGGTCTCCTCTTCCCAGACCTCATTTTCATCCTGCCTGTGTGCACCCTTCAAGTCTGAGAACAGCCTTCATTCTAGGCGTGCAGAACGCACGCAGCCACTGGTGCCTCTGCAGAGAACCATGCACCTGCCGGTGCCACTACTTCCTTGAAAATCTGGCCCTATCAATAGCATGAAAATGGATTAATTAAAAGAGACTAGGCTAATTGCATTTAAACCCCACACAGTAAATGACTGAATGATTTTAGCTCTTCTAACTTGTGTTTCAACCTGCCGCTCGCTTGGTTACTCATCATTAATCAAACAGCCGTTGTTACCGCCATGTCCTGTAAAGCCAACTCTGGCTGCTTTGCCATCTGGATCAAGCAAATATGTTACAGTTATTACATCCAATAACAAAAAAAAAAAAACCATCAAGTCAGATATTTCAAGCTCCTCCTGGCATTAACCTCTGGTCATTTACATAACTGGGCTCTTTTTGCATATTCACACATGGCTGATGGTCCCTCACTCAGCTGCTGAACACATAAATGGTTCCATTTCCACTACATGCCTGACTGAGGAGCATTTCCAACCACACAGAAGCAAGATGATCTCAAAGACTCCCCTTCTCTGGCTGCTGCTTTTCTGGATTCAGGGTAAGAAACAGACAAGTGTCAAAAGTGTTGACAAGGAATGTGGCAAATCGTAATAAATGATGGTGGTTTGTAGAGTTATATGCTGATTCCAGGTATAATTTTAGTTCATTTCTACTGTTCAGTTTACAAGTATTTCAATGTAGAGCTTTGAATAATGTTAATGTCATTGTCCCATTTACCCAACCCCAGCTCTGCCAATTTTTATTCTTTCTCGCCAGGTTCCAGTGGGCAGACTGTGATGACTCAGACCCCAGAATCCCTGGCAGTGTCTCCAGGAGACAGAGTCACCATCAACTGCAAAGCCAGTACCAGCATTAGTGGTGCTATAGGCTGGTACCAACAGAAATCAGGACAAGCTCCTAAGCTCCTTATCTACGGCCCTTCCACCCGTCCCTCTGGGATCCCAGACCGGTTCAGTGGCAGTGGGTCGGGGACTGACTACACATTCACCATCAGCAGAGTTGAAGCTGATGATGCTGGAGATTATTACTGCATGCAGGCTGCTAGCTTCCCTCTCACAGTGATACAGACCAATACAAAAACCTCCCTGCTCTATGAAGCATGAAGTCTAGTAGACACGGCTACATACAAGTAGCACAACAACCTAGTTTTCTGCCAAAACTCATTCCATTCACTAACATAACCTGAAACTCTAGCATTGTACAGTATTGCTGTCCTGAAAGGGAAGGTTTGTTATAGCATGAACTGAAGAACAGAGGGTCATCAGTGAAGTCCCACAAAACATATTCTGTCTTTTTTAAGTCTAACCTTAACTGTGAATTTTCTGGGTTATGATCCTTAGTGTTTGGATCATGACAACATCCCTGTTAATGATTTTTATCCAAAATTACTAATATGCACTGGCAGCCTTACTCCATCTTATTATTATTTATTGTTTGCTCTCCAGTCGCATCTACAAAGCCCTAGACATGGACCCCATTGTGCTAGGTGCAGTACAAACACTGAACAAATAGACGCTCCCTGCCCCAAACAATTGCTACAGTCAATGCAGTTTTTGTCTGGGAATGAATACATTAATCTAGAAAGCAAATTTCATTAGCTGGAGGTTAAGGTTGTTTTCGGACATAAACCCCAGAGCATGGGAAATAAAAGTAATCTTCACTTATTCCTACAGCCCAGATCACATACAAATAAACTGCGACCACATGATGTACGTTAAATCATTAATACATACTCCAAGTTACAAACTATGCAGATCAGATGTGAGCCATCAGGGAAGGCACCAGTAGTGCCTCATTTTGGGAATGAGACAAAACACCCTCTCATGGGCTGGTTTATGGCAGACAACTCCCTGCTTGATCCATTTCCCAGACTTAGTACCATATCTATCTTCAATGGGTTTATACGTGTTGCTGGTGGGCAATCCACTGGTGTCTTGCACTCCAGAACGTGGGCCCCTTCTTGGTCTGTTTGGGAAGATGCCAAGTGCAGCTCGTTTTCACCAGCAAGCAGCAGGTTTGTGGCTAAGCTGGTAGACCACGGGGGCTGGCTGCAATTGGCATGCCTGGGACAACAACTTTGAGCGCCCTGACTCACTCTGAAGAAGCCCACAGTGATTGCGTCCTTGATAGATGTTGGAATCCTGCTACACTGGCCCTCAAAGCCCAACATGTACAAAATGGGGCTTCTGTCCATAGTGCACAGGGGACTTTTAAAATATTTATTTATTTATTCTCACCCTGACCTTACAAATTTGAGGATTCTAGAAGTTTTGGCCCAAAACAGGCATAAAAAAAAATCCAAAAGAATCCTTGTGATGCGGACACAGCCTCTGCCTATACTGTGACAATAATATTCTCCTCTCTGTTATAAGTGTCTGTTTGTTCATCCCCAGACAGAAATGACATTTAGATGGAGTTCTGGTTGCAAGTACTACTACTAATAGGGGAATTCTGTACCACTGTGCATGTGCAGAATTCATGTGGTGTGCAGACATTCCCCCTCCCCACCCCTGCAGAAAATACATTTGGCTGGAAAGGTGCTGCAGTTATGCTGCCCACCAGGGGCTACTGTGGCAAACAGAGAGCAGCCACTCCCAGGCCAGCTACAGCTGCACATAGGGAAGAGAAGAGGCTGCCTTCCTCACAGAGCCCTGCCTGGGGGGCCAGGTCAGAAGGCATGGGATCTGGGAAGACAGATAGCATGGGGCACATGGGCTGCTGAGGGGGTCACAAACTGGGGTTCATAAGGACTAGTGGCAGAGACAGAATAGGGCGGCGACTGAATGGGAGTGCAGGTGCAGGGCCACATAGGGACAGCATGGAGGTGGTGGTGGGACACATGGGGATGGGGGAGGAGGTGTGCTTCAGGGGGTGGCAGGAACACATGAGGACAGGGGCAGATGTGCCTGAATGAATGAGAGAAACTGCGGGGGTCAGCCAGGATCTGCATGGTGGAAGCTCCCTACCAATCCCTTCTCTGCCCCCCTGTATTCCCCCCAAAAACCTGTTCCATACTTCTCCAACCGACAATCCAGAAATCACTTCCCTCTCCCTCACCTCCTCCATTACCCCCAACCACAGGTTCCAACTTTTGTTGGCGCCGGTGGGTGCCCACTCCCGGCCCTGGCCCCACCCCGACTCTGCCCCTCCCTCCCCAAATCCCCGCCCTGGACCCGCCTCCTCCCCCAAGCGTTCCGCGCTCCCCTTCCTCCACCCTCCCTCCCAGGCCTGCCACGCAAAACAGCTGTTTGTTGTTTGTATTGTTACAGACATACTTGCTGAGAGGTATTTTGAAATAGATTACCAAAATAATTAGACTGCTGTGATTATATTGTGTGCTTTAGATAAATAAAATATGCAGAATTTTAAAATATTGTGTGCAGAATTTGTAATTTTTGGCTCATAATTCCCCAAGGAGTATTCATATTTGAGGTAAAATGCATTATAAGCGAGTTGTAGTTATACCAAAAACAAGTATTACAAACCTAGGAAAATCAGAGATAAATTTAAAAGAAAATTAATCATGTTGCACTATGCTAATACACAGTGAGGGCACCCAAACAACCTAACTCTGTCCGGTAATGATGCAGTGCAATTAATATATGATTCTGATTAAAGTATTTTAGTGTTAGAGGATCCCAGATCTGATTTTAAAAAGATTTTGAAGACACAATGGAGTTTTTCATATATTTCCCCCTACACTACAAAGTTCAGATTGTTTGGGTGCCTTAACAGAACTTTTTTTACTTAAAAAAAATCCAAACACTTTAAAGTGTAAACGTTAATTCTGAATATCCTTCATTTTACAGTGCTTGAGTCTAAGGTAAGTGCAACATCCTTGTAATATCATTACTCTTAAGTTCTGGATAACTACTGACAACTTAATTCTATCTTAATATAGTTCTTTGTCCAGGAATTTCCTTACGTTTACTTATACAAACGTATACTTTCATACATGGACCCTAAAACAAATCCCATGATAATGCTGCTTTACAACATTTCTAATGAGATGCAGAGATGTAATATCAACCTTCCCTCTTCATTTTATTTTCTTTAGATTCATAGATTTTTAAGGCCAGAAGGGACCATCATGATCATCTCGTCTGATCTCCTGCATAACACCGGCTATAGAACCCACCCAATAAATTCTGCATCAAGCCCAGAACTTCAGCTTGAACAACAGCATGTTATCTAGAAAATGCTGCAGTCTTGATTTCAGAGCAGGCAGATTTACTTCTACACCAAAGCAGGCAGAGCACCCAGTCAGTTTCCATCACCAGAGCAGCGGACGTGTACTGGTAAATCTGGCCCTTGATTTGTAATGGACTTTATGGGGCTGTGATGGAGACGGCTGCTGTGTCCAGGCTCTGGAAAGATTCCATGGCTGCATTACCAGCATGAGCAGCAGTGCCTGACAGGTTCCTCAGGGCTCTGCTTCCTCAACTACACGGCATGCTGAAGTTGCACTGCTGGGGGGATCTAATCCAGGAGCATGGAGGGTGGTGGGGACTGTAGGATGGTCTTGATTCAAAGCATGAAACTATTCACCAGGTGGCGTGGGTTCCCCATCTCACAGACGGGGATCTGAAACAAAGCATAAGTGACTTGTCGCATGTCACACAAGGAGACTAAGGCAGAACCAGGAGCTGAACTCAGATTTCTTAAACACCAGTCCAGTACC